AGGTTATAAAAATTGGTGTTGGTGTACCTACACACCAACACCAATTTTTATAACAAAATTAAGATCACCTCATGAGTTATTGTATAAAAAAATGTTTTTTTTGTTTCATGCATTAAACTAGGTTATTTTGTTATCCTTTCTTCTCTTTTCAACAATAAAGTGCGTTACTTATTATTTTACTTTAATATGTTAAGTTAGCCTATAAGTATGATAGTATATACTAATGATAGATAATATACTAAACTTTAGATTAATCTATAAAATTTGTAAACATTTTATTCATTGTACAATATCATGTTGGCTTCCTAATAAATAAATAAGTAAATAAATCAACACACGAACACACACACACACACACAAAACAAACTCTTAAAATAACATTATTTTTAATTTCTTATTTATATTTCTGTACCTGTTCAACTAACTAAATTATTAAATAGAAATTGACCTTTTGACAAGGCTAACTTTAAGGGGAGGAACTGGTTCCTGAAACACAGTAACACTAGCTCAGGGGCCAGGGAATCAATGAACTTATGTAAAGAGGTTGTTGTTAAATAAATAAATAAATTTTGTATAGAGAAGAAAAAATTCTAGATCTTCAGAATATTAATGAAACCAACATTTGCGAGCGTCTACCATTTGTAGGCTCTTAAGCATTGTCCCACTGGAGAAACATCATCTTTTTTATAAATCCAAACAAAATTGCCTTAATTTTACAGTTATAAAAATGTTAAAGAAAACAGCAACAGTTCAAAAGCGTAAAAAAAAATGAAGAAGTGAATGATAATGAAATAGGAGCATACGGTAACGTATATAGCTATTTCTGGGACTAAGTTCAGGAAAACAGAGGAGCTAACGAGATTGAGTCATGTGTTTTAGATTTTTTTACACCCAAACAAAACTCTCCATGTCATTTTATTCCGATAATTGTTGCGGACAAAACAAAAACAAATACTCCGTTATATTCTTATGGTATGTCTATTTTTACAAAGATTAACACAAATTACTCATAAAAAATATCTACGGTAATACTGTACATAGCCTTATGGAAAATGAGATTAAGAGAAATAAAAAGTCTAGGCCAATATAAGCACCCTACCAATATGTTATCCTAATTAAGAACTCGCATAGGAATGGTAAATATTTTAATGTGATATAGTTGACATACGACTTTTTCATCGACTTATAGATTCTAAAAGAAAAGTGGGGATATAAGTAATTACAAAGAAGGTGAACATAAAAACAATATGATATGGATGGTCAATTCGCACGCTCGTACAAAGTACAGCCAGTTGAAAAAAAATTAAACTAAATTTTAAAAACGACTTCAAATAAAAAGACATTCTATTAAATCTTAAAATAAAGCTACTAATTGTTAATTGTTGTTTTATATCCGAAAAAAATATATACACACATAAAAATACGGAAAATATTTCGGGCGTAAAGAGAACAGCGCTCTTCTACACTGCCGAGCTAAACAGGTTTATGCTCACAAAAGGATAGCGCTATCTCTTTCTTTTTATCAAACCTCCTTTATCTCCATCGAAATCGTGGCGCATGAAGACGTCAGTCAGTAAAGCGTACTTTACTGCGCCCGCGCATGTTAAGCAGCGATATGGATTAATTTATTTTATTAGAATGTGGGTGTTTTTAGTGTTTTTTTTTTATGTACGTTGGAGGTAAGTTTATTTAATTTATTTACATGGTATTATTATGTCTTAATGAAATAAAAAATGTCGAAAATAATTTTTCTCATCTGCCCATTTTTCATATTGATTAGTCAAAGTAAAGTAAATAATTATCATTTTATGAAATACCTTTACATTTTATACCTTAAGCGAAAGCGCAAGGTATGTTCTACTATCGCCTAAAAATTAAGATTCCAACGTTTTATCGAATAAAATCGTATCTAGCAATCATATTGTACATATAAATGATATAAAAAGCACATTGTTAGAAAGATGATTGTTGAACTTTTTTAGTACTGTCCTAACAGAGCAGGGTTAAATATTTAAAAAAATATGGCTTTTGTGGCCACCACCTTGTTTTGTCCTATATTGAGGCATTAGAATAAACTATGAGACATAAATTAAATATTATAAATTATTTTAAGATTTTTTAAGACTATAAGCTTAGATAATTATTCACAATTTCATTCAAAAAACCGGTTTCAATAATAACATTTTTTTAGGAGTTGAATCACAATCTGGTCCAACTAATTCTGGAACTGGTCTGAAAACAATTATTTCACAAAGAGTAAAGCCAGTACTTCTTCGCGCGGGCCATAAATATAATTTACATAGGAAAAATAAAGGATCCTGTGTTTGGAGATGCTCCAAACGAAGTACATGCAAAGCAAAGCTTACTATAAACACTGATAACTCTATCAAGCGGGAGGATAGACACAACTGTGAGCCGGATTTTCCGTCAAAAGAGTTGGAAGTAGAATTCAACGAGTGTATGGAAAAAGTGAACACTGACTATACTGTACCCATACCAAGTGTTTTTTGACAGTGTTACCGAGCTAAGAGACAAAGGAACCAACCTCATCCAAAAAGTCCTCAATTTAAAAATGTTAAAAATAAGTTTTACCAAAATAGAAATCAGTCAGAGGGTGTACAAAAACTATGTGGCACGACAACTTTGAAGCAAGTTGTCGCGCCCGAAAAATTCAAGTGTTTTATTAGCAGATTACTACAGCTCGAGGAATAGAATTTTGGTTTTCGCTAGTGATAATTGTAAAACAATATTGGCAAATTGTAATTTGACAGTTTTATATATGACGGAACTTTTACATTTCGTCTAAAACCCTTCCAGCAATTGTACGCCTTACATGTTGATTTAGGAAGCAGTGAAACACATACTAACACCATACCTGTGATTTATGCATTATTGCCAAACAACGTGAACGGCATAGTCGGGAAGGGTCGCCCTAGGCGAAAGGTTATCGACCAAATTGGCGATATATTAAAAATGGGCCAAATCAAGAGTACCTTTAACCGACGAGCGTGTATGCGTAGGTATATGGATGTGGAAGAAGCGAGAGAGGTGTGTCAGGATCGTGCCAAATGGAAGTCCATAATCTCTGCCTACCCCTCTGGGTGTCAGGCGTGAGTGTTTATGTAATGTATGTATATGCCAAACAAAACCAAAATAACTTACAAACTGTTGTTTTCACTGATCAAGAGTTAAATTCCTCAGTTCGATCCAAAAAATATTATACTCAACTTCGAGCAGGCAGCAATGTCAGTGATCACAGATGTATTCCCAGATTTGTGGGTGTTTCTTTCATTTTTGTAGAAGTTAGTGGCGAAAGGCTGACGAAGTAAGCATTACAAAATCTGCACTGGCTCGAAAACATGTAAAAAGGTGTACTGTTTTGACATATTTACCTAAAGAATTTATTGACAGTGGTTGGTTGTACATTGTCTCAATGCCCCAGCGATGAAAAAAATTGTCCAATTTAATAATTATTTTGTAGAAACATGGTTAAGTGAATACCTTCATTTTATGCTGACAAATGGTCGAGCAGTAACAATCATCACCGTAATACAAATATGGTTGAGAGCTGGCATGCTACTTACTATAAACAAAAAAGTAAAGAGTAAACCGAAAAGCATTGCTCATTTTTTGACATCTTACAACGAGAAGATAATTATTATCAAACTTTATACTTAAAAGGATCAAATGTTACGACAAAACAGAACAAAACTTGTGCTATTGATAAACATATTGCTACCACAATTACCGAACTCAGACTCTGAAACATAAATATTGAATTATCTATTGAACGTCTTATATTATAATTTTTTGAATATTTTTATTTGACAATAAATAAGAACAAAAATCGTGATCTGTGATTATACTGACAATTATTGTATGTTGTAAGAAGTAGTTATAACAAGCCAAATGCTCTTGTGATATTATTCATTTTTATATTTAGAATGCTTTAGTCATATTATTGATTATATTTTATACTAGCTGTTCCCCGCGACTTCGTTCGCCTGTAATTTACGGTTTTAATTTTATTGCTCTGAACCCTAATTATTTTTCTCAAATATAAGTAGCCTACGTTACTCCTTAGAACATCAGCTACCTGCCCGTAAAAGTCCCGTCGAAATCAGTCCAGCCGTTTCGGAGACTAGCCGGAACGAACAGACAGACAGACAGACAAAAATTTTAAAAATTGTGTTTTTGTTACAAGTACCGTATATACATTCATATGAATTTAGTAAAAAGCTGTTATTTTAACATTACAAACAGACACTTCAATTTTATTTATTTGTATAGATTTTTGATTACATTTTTATACTTAGATAATAGCAAGCCAAATGCTTTTGTGATATTGTTGATTCTATTTTTTAATGTTGATCATATTTTTATATCTAGTTATTAACACGTCAAATATTTCGTGATGTCGTTGATTATATTTTGATATTGTTGATCATATTTTTATACTTAGCTAATAAACAAGCCAAGTGCTTTTGAGAATAATTATATAATTTAATTTTTTTTTTGCCTTTATTATTATTTGGTATAACATACTTTTATATTTTTGAGATGTTGATTTGTGAAATATATCTAAAATTATGATATAATAACATTTTGTATTATTTTGTAGTCCAACCATAAAATATTAAACGTTTTTTTAAAAGGTTTTTTGTAGTTGACTGTACTAAGTTACCTCACATTTTTATGACGGGCGAGTAATATTTAATACAATGTCGTTTTACTTGAAGTCGTTTTTAAAATTTACTTTAAATTTTTTTACTTGGCCGTACTTTGATCGGGCGAGATGACGAATAACCCAAAAGGTCCTGGGTTTGATTCCGCCATTCGACTACTGTCATAAACCACTCCTAACAATAAATATCAGCTTACCAGGAGTGGTTACAGGGAACATTAGTGATGCCAATAGTATTGCTAGTATTTATTTTTGTTAAAAAAAAATAATGAAAAAAAGTTTAATTTAAAGATGTTTTGATTTCGTGTTTTCTCACCGTTAAAATGTGGTTCATTATCCAAAGTATCACTTATGAATATTTTATTATAATCTGCTGTTGAAACTGGAGTTCTCGGTGGGCTCTCTTTTATTGCACATGCTGAAATTGAAAAATAAAGTAATTAAAAAGTAAATCAAACAGTCAAGTACGTTATACACAATTAACGGTACAGCAAAAAAGGACATACAGGAAGATGCTCCTGCCCATCTTTTGTTTCAGCTTCTCTCTGTCGCCTCTTACGACACCCACGGGATGATAGAGGGTAGTGGAATTATCACTTACGTCACCACTAAACGATACAGAGTGGAAATTATCAGATAATTATATTTGCATCAAATTTAATTTCAAAAGAGCTTTAAAAGGGTTTTTATTCATTAAATTATTTAGCGATCTGACTGATCGGACATAATCGTGTAACTTCTGAACTAGTTGACCGTTTGCTTGAAGTCATGTTCACAAAATATATGTTTTGTCAAGATGATGTCATTGCTATATTTAGATCCGATAGGTGGGGGGGGGGGGGGCTGTAATCTAGTTGGCCTGTGTATTTATTACAGTATGATATAGAAATAATAATATATGAATTTAAAAATGTTTTGATTTCTTGACTTCTTACCGTTTAAAAGTGGTTCATCACCCAAAGAACTTTTTATCAATTCCTCATAACGTTCTGCCGCTGAAAGTGGACTTGGTGGGCTCACCTTTGGTGGAAATGCTGAAATAAAACATAAAGAATTAACAAAAAATAGATTAGACAAGTATTGTACTAAAGGGCTTAGAGACTTCCTTAAATTAGTACAGTGCGCGAGCAACTAGAGTTCAATCTCCGACACCAATGATATTGTTAATTGCAACTTTAAGTGATGAATATTCAAATGCCCTAGCGATGAAAGAAAACATTTTAAGGAATATGTGAAATTCGCCAGTACGCACTTAAGTAACAGTGGTAGAGCCACGCGGCAGCTTTTGCTGTCGCACGGATGGGCCGGCTCGAACCGGGGTAGTACCACGACCTCACAGAAAACCAGCGTGAAGTAGAGGTTTACCTCTGCGTTTCGCTTGGCGAGTGCAGGTGGCCGGAGGCCCTTTTTACTGGAAATGAGGCATTCCATCTTAGTCCTCACGGGTGACAACGCATCTACATTTTGATTTGTAACAGAGGATAGATGTAGATGTCTATGGGCCGCAGCAACCACTTACCATCAGGTGGACTGTGTGCTCGTTTGTCACCCTTATCCTATAAAAAAAAAAGTAGCGCGGCGGGACTTATTACTACATAACCCTCTTAAAATACCTTACATTAAATTAAAATGTGTTTTTAACAAACAACCGTAGTTTTATTGCACTCTTTGTGGTTGCTGCTCTTTTTTTTTTTAGTATACAATATCTAATAATTAAAAATTTTGGTACAACCGACTTCAATATAAATTATTAAACATAACTCAAAAACTATTGGTCACACCTTGATCAAATTAATGTGTGACCACACGAGAAGCACCAGCTTTTAAATTAAAAAAAAGTATAATCGAAATCGGTTCACCCAGAAAAAGTTATTAAGGTAACACGGTTTTAACATGGTTTCGGTGCCAAGATCACAAATGAGAAATACAAACTTGAGAACTACGTTATATATGTTTTTGCATGACAGCCACTATGGCGTGCATCGGAGCATTTTAATACATCAATGAATTTGAGACCATTTTAAACGTGCGAGCCTACTATCCTACTAATATCCATATGTATGGATGTTTGTTACTCATCACGCAAAAACTACTGAATGGCTTTTAATGAAACTACTAAATTATTACTAAATAAAATAGCTAATAATTAATAACTAATTCATAATGCTGTGTTAGTCCCTACTTTAATGTATGGTAGTGAAAGTTGGGTCTGGCAGAAGAAGCATGAGAGTAGAATAAATGCTGTAGAAATGCGTTCCTTAAGGAGTATGCTAGGGCTGAATCTGAATGACAGGGTGAGAAATAGTGTGATAAGAGAAAAGTGTGGTTTGCAAGATGACGTTGTGACAGGGATTAAGAAAGGAATGCTTCGGTGGTTTGGTCATGTAGAAAGAATGAACGAGGAAAGAGTGACAAAGCAAATTTATGTTGCGGAAGTGAACGGCAGGGTCGGGAAGGGACGCCTTAGATGAAGGTTTATCGACCAAATCGGCGATACATTAAAAATGGGCCAGATTACGAGTACCCTTAACCGACGAGCGTGTACGCGTAGATATATGGATGTTAAAGAGGCGAGAGAGGTGTGTCAGGATCGCGCCAAATGGATGTCCGTAGTCTCTGCCTACCCCTCTGGGTGACAGGCGTGAGTGTTTATGTATGTATGTAATAAAATAGCTCGTACATCAGAATAACACATAAGCTATAATTCATAAAAATATTGTGTAAATTGCCCAAAATATAACCATAAATATTAATTGAGTCTGAAAAAATCTGTCATCGATCAGATTGGCGTGAACACGTATCGCGCAAAAACCTGTGAACCGATTTGGATGGGACTTTCACTGGCAAATATCTGATGCTATAAGGAGTAATTTAAGTTACTTTTATTTTAGGGTTCCACGCGGGCGAAGTGGCGCGGAACAGCTAGTACTTACATAAATAAAGGACCAAAATCGTTCCTAATGCTTAAAAGGTAGTTATAGGTTCTACAATGCAAATTTCATGTTTGTAATTTCAGTAAATTATGATCTGCGACAATAAATCATCCATTCCAGTTATTTCAATTTATAAGTTATATATACAGAATTATAGTAATGTGTAAGAATTAAAAACGGAAAAAGAATCAGACTTTATAACTCACTTCAACATTCACAATACATCCTAACCTACATTATTTTATGTTGCTAGATCATACTTGTCAACACAGCCATTCTCTATTGGTAAAGTTATTGAAAAAATATAGTTTATCATTTTGCTTGAGCAAAAGATGCGAATATTATTAAAAGTTAAAAAGTTACAGCCTATATACGTCCCACTGCTAGACATAGGCCTCCTCTCATTTCTGAGAGGGTTTTATGCCCTAAGGAAATGTCCGCCGCGCCGTCCCAATGCGTGTTGGCGAACTTCACACGTCTTCGAATTTCTTTTCTTATTTCTCAGACATGCAGGTGTCCTCACGGTGTTTTCATTCACCGCCGAGCACGTGGTAAATCAGCACTTAAAATTGCAATTAACAATTTCATTGATGCCGTCGGGGATTAAACCCGGGCTGCTCGCGAACTGTGAAATTTACAGCGAGCGCTAATCATCTGAGCTCGAATATTATTAATTGACGAACAATTTTAATAATTAAATATTCATTAATTGAAACATTCAATATTACAAGAGTTCCACTTAGTAGCAATGACACTGAAGTGTGTGCCCATGGGCTTTAATAGAAAACAGATTGCCATACTGAGTGGGGGAAAAACGTAATCAAATTTATTTTCTTCTTCTTCTTTTTAAAAAACGTTACCCCCACACTAGGATTTTCTCCTGTATTGTGGAAACAGTTTACAAACATAAATTCCACAAGGACAAACATCCAGACCCAGAACAATTATTTGCAGGCCATACGAATACTTATTCCGTGCGGGATTCGAACCCACGGCCCCCAGTATAGTAACTTATTGCTAAGCCACTGCGCCACGGAGTCGTCAATTATCAAGAACACTGCGCATAACCAGGTCCGGGCACTCCCACTGTATGAAAGGCATGATTAAATATACTTAACTATAATAATAATAAACTTTAAATATAAAAAAATTACCTCCAGTAGCATGTGAAATTTGAGTTTGAATATTAATCACTGAAGAAACAGTTGATACCGTTCCTAAAAACAAAATTATATTGTGTAAATAATATAATTTATAAATGTTTGACTTCCAGGGTACACCCTAAGAATGTACCAACATGCTACATTTAACATCGCTATAAATCAGGCATGCTTTTAATTCTTATATTTAAAAATATACCTTCAGCAGAACTTGCAGTTCCCGAGTTGTCACTATCCAAATCTCTATACTGTTGAGCTGAAACAATTTTAATATAATATGAATTCTTCTATGCATAAGTTTGACAAAAAGTGTTGTTAAGTTTTATGGAAGCTTACATATTTAGCTAAAAATTATTAATCTATGATATCTAAGGAAAATTTTAGTCATTTCCTTGGAATTATATACTTCACTCAATTGTAGTAGAGCCATGCTGCTGCTATATTATAGTTGTGGCACAAATGGGTCGGCTCAACCAAGGAAGGACCTGACTATGCTCTGACAGAATACCAGCTCAATGCTGCTACGTTTTGCATGGTGAATGTAGAGAACCACAGACCCTTTTTACTGGATACAAGGCATTTAATCTTAGTCCTTGCGGGTGTCAACCTATCTGCATTTTGATTCTTAATCAAGGATAGATGTAGATGTCTTATGAGTCACAGTATCCACTTACCATTAGGTGGGCTTTGAGCTTGCTTGTCACCCTTATTCTATAAAAAAAATTGGAAGCTGTAATCTAATTAGGAATTTGAGCAGCATCCTGTTTGTAAACTTTACTCATATGATTTCATTTGCAAGTATTACAACACTGAGTTTTTCTGTTGTATTACCTACCCCATACTTGTCATACTTGCCCACCAAGCGTGGCAAGTATGGTAACATTAAGCTAAAGGAAAATGCTGCCGCTCATCACCTGTTCTCCTGCTATTGTTTCTTATGACACGCATGGAGTAAAGGGGTAGTGGACTCTCCTACACACCTCTACACTACAACTACCCTTCTGCAACACATACATACTATACTATATATACGTACTATACTTACATAAATTTAAAGAAGGATAACTGTTAGCAGTAAGTCTTTTCCCAACCATGCGAAAATTTTGTTCAAAATGTCTGTCACTTATGTAGAGATTTCCTAAGATATATGAAGTTCCTTTTAGTTTTGTTTCAACGGACAAAACTGCCAACCACATATTAAATCTAACTTCGTTATTATAGTTAGGTTTTGGAAAACGATGCATAGGCACTGAAAATAAAAATAATGTGGGTTCGACATAGCATGTTTTATTTGCAAAATCGTATTATGATAGAATCTTAATTTACGCAATAACTTACCATCCAGCTTACAGCCAAAATAACACAATTTCGTAGGCATTTCGTAGTCTAATGTAGAAGTAGTCGTTTTTATTATCTGAAAAGCCAAAATCCATAATAAATGCCGGTATCGTGCTTAGCAGTAGAAAATCCAACGACTGCATTGAGTGCCCAGTTGGTCAATGCAGTAGAAATATCCAGTCCGTAAGCAATACCAAGTTGTTAAAAAAGAGGAAATAACTAATACTAAACACAGCTTAAGACTGCATCTTACACCAAACAACACTAAATCGATTTCAGAAAAATATGCATCCTAGTTGGATTTCGACATGTTAAACTTGGAAATGGAAGATTTATTCCTAGTGGAGAGGCTTCTACTGGACTGAGGTAAGAAGCGGAAAGTGAACACTTCCAAAGGTAGACGATAGAGTGCTCTAATTGATACTTGCGGCTAAATTAGCAGAGCAGAGAGACAGATCGACAACAACATAAGGACTCTGGGAAGGGTAGATAACACGGGTGGGAGACCCATTATTCAAGATGTAAAGATTATATTATAGAACTCATTAAAGACATTTATTAATAGATAGGAAAAATAATCAATTAGAGTAGTCTTAATAAAGACAGATCAACATGCTTATCATTAACACCCTCCCAAGGGATATGGCGACCCTGCCAAGCAGTGCGCTGCAACAATGTAAGCGCAACTCCTAGGCGTGCAGATAATTTAAATTAAAAAATAATTAACTGTAATTCACTGGAATTGACACAATTATACTGGATTTGACGAAAAGCAAAATTAAATGTGAATATGGGAAAAGCCCAAAATTTAATTTTTTTTAGGAAGTTACTAAAAGATCTACTAATGATCTTTTTTAAAGTAAAATATATAGAAAATAACAAACGTATGAAAATAAATATTCTAACGAGCATATAATTTACAAAGAATAGAAGAAATTGTAGCCCAGTGAGCCTCAGCCAAGAAGATAAAGCCGGAAAGAATAAAGAATATTGAAGGTAACATCGCACCAGTGTGATTTTTAATTCTATTCAAATATCATTTTGAGATTTTTTTTTCATGTTGTTTTGCTATTGTATTTTTTTTTACTTAAGTGTTTAATATTCTGTATTTAATATAAGATTAAATTGAAATTTAGTATCAGATACTTAACATTAACAATTTATTTGTTATTTTCATTATAGTAACAAGAAAATGCAATTATAATACAATATTATAAACTAAGTTACACTTTAAGCAATTGTTGGGCACAAGAAAATTTTATATTCACTTATATTCAATAAATGTTTTATATTATTTTTATTATTGTCATGTAAAACAAATCCGTGAAATAATATCATATAATATTATTAGATTTTTACATTTCATATTTTGTGAACTTTGAAATCATCTTTTAAGCTTTAAATTTTTATAATTTCATTATTTTTAGGTAAAACAGTAATGGCTTAACAGGAAATGTTTTAGTAACTATTACCTTTTATAGAATAAGGGCAAGCTAAAAAAAATGGAGAGTTCGATTGATATTCCATTTATTCAATTTTGCAGCAGCTGCAGGATGGTTGGTGTACCAGAAAGAACCCCTAACGCTGAAGACTTCTAAAAAGGACACTGGATTATTTGGAGTTCAAAGCTGAGATAGGAAATTCTTTGCTCTATTTCACTCCAACAAGAGAGCAAACACATATGTACGAGGAACTTGATGATATGCCAGCAGAAGCTAGTCAAACTGGCCACAAGAGGAAATATGTCCTTCAACCCTACTACTTCAAACTACACTGAATTTGAAAAACCTGTGGCTATTGAAGTCCCCAATTACAATAAAAGGAGGCGAGATACTAGATAGAATAATGTTAAGATTGATTATGAAAGGCAAATCTGCATATTTATTTTCTTTTCTAAAAATCAGTGTGGGTATAAATAAATATTTTGTTATGATGCTAATGGCGTCCTTATGATCTACTTTTTTATGAATGCTAGGTGTTAAGTCTGTAGGTTCGCGTTTAGCGGAACCAGAACCAGACGGATTGTCTTAATCCGGTGGTTCTGAATCTACCCGTTTAAATGTATTGTTTTAATTATGACTACATAAACTAATTAACTACCGCTACTTTAAGACACACAGTACACGGTAAAACTCAAAACTCAACAAAAATACAAAGCTGAAAGCAACACAAACTATAATGTACTCTGTGACACAAACTGAAATCTGAAACTTCTATATATAATATTTATGTTGGTTGTTGTTGTTGATGTTTTGATTCGGCAATTTAAGCAGGCAAAAGTCTTATATCATACAGCCTAGTCTGATTTGTATTTTGTTCACAAAAGGACACACACACTACACGGTAAAGTTACCGTCTTTAATTTCCATATTTTACGATCTGTTATAGCAAACCACTGTTTCATTTAAAGTAGTGGTGTAGCATTCGACTTTAATACCAATATAAATAATTATAAAACAACGTACTTATTTCTTTCGTCCCTAACTTTTGAAGCATATAATTTTAATTGATGTTAGGTTAAAATCATTAAAATGGGTATAAGCATTTTTAATTCTCATTGATTTAGAGGTTTTGTCCATTTTTAATGTGTTGGTATCAGTAAACTGAAAAAATGTAGGGATCACTCTCAGCTTAGCCCTTTCAATACGGACAACTGGTAGGGTACGCGTACACCTAATCCGTCATCGGCCGAAGTTTGCTTGGGCGATGACGATTGACGACTGAACTCGGACGATCGAATCAAACACTTGTAAAAGAAAGAAAGCGCGTACACAAACACGACCGTCATCGTCCGATGACGTACGAAATCGGCCAATCAACCGTAGAGTCCAAACTTGTTGGGATTTCTCGCCCTACTGCCAGCGTCTACAGGGCAATTTGAGTGTTTATACCTAGTTTAATTTAGTCATTCTGTGTTTATTCTGTTGTTTCTGTCGGTGTAGCTATCTACCTAAACAACTATGGATATGAAAAACTAATTAGTTGTTTTTATAATAGACCAACACTGTTAGATAAACATTCAAAAAATTACAATACTCGAGATGTTTCGAAACGGTTATGGGCTGAAGTTGCATCGGAAATAGATTCCAACATTTAAAAAAATGGAGCAACTTCTTTTTAAATTTTAAAATAAATTGCGATATGAATTTTCTAAAAGATACATTTCTTCGAATTTCTCCATTTTAAAAACGCATCTTCACTCTGTTTAGCAACACAACCAACTACAGAATACCGGCAACGTCCAATGTCGGCACAAGTTACACTGTTGCAGTGTAAGCACATACACGTCAGAGTTACTCGTCCGGGTAGTTCTGTCCGCCATCGGCCGACAAAATCGGTTTTGGTGTACACGTACCGGTAGGGTTAACCGATTCGTTGCGGCACCAATTTTCGACAACTTTTAGCTGTGGCGGCGAACAAATATTTCATGACACGCCGGGCGTTTCAAGCGCCACAGACAAATGTTATTTTTTATGCTTTTTTTACTTGTTTAGACCTAATTAAGTTTATTTGACATCAAACATAAGTTACAAATGGAAGGATACTTGTTTTTAGTGGGTAACTACGTGTTTTTTACGCGTTTTCTTTGAAATTGAGAGAAAGTGACTTTTTTTATGAAGATATTACAAACCTTTTGTACTATTTTTTGTTGTTTAAAAAATCATTTATATAAGTAGGTACAGCTAAATCACCTTGGAATCATTGGTTTTTATTAAATTTAATTTTCACCTAATAATAACATTTGTAAATATCAAACAATGAAGAAACTTAATATGAAAAAAAAAAGGTTATTTACATTCATTGATATTTACAAATGTCAAATATATAATATGAGTAATAAGACGGCAGTTCAACCATTTTAAGCAAAATTAAACAATAAGACAAACGCATTGTTTTTTTTTAACAGGAGACTTGTTTTCTAGAAATTTATTTACAACTTGAGTTTGTGAGCGATCGCAATGAGTGCTATTATTTGTTACTTATTAGACAACTTTTCCATAACATGATTTAAAACCCACAAAGTAAAAATAGTACCATACTCGCGTGTCATACGCCACACACAAAAGTAATCGATGGCACGCCTGGCGTGTCACCCGCACTGAACCGGTTAATTGTATCAAAGAAACGGCTATAAGTAACAATTCAATTTATTCGGTAACAAATGGCTTAGAACGTCCGATGATTTGTACTCAAATGAGTATTTCTCAAAATTTTTGACCATAGTCCTAACGTCAATGTCCCACATTTTTTTCCTTGATTATTTTATTACTATGGTGTTATAAGTGATATACACAATACTGTAACTGTTTTGATATTAATAAATTATCAGATAGAATTTCAAAAGAGTGTAAAAATTAAAAAGTTCCTTTTAAAATTAATATTCTGATAAATACCGAAATTTTCGTAGTATGGATATAGTTTGACCACAGTGACATCGAACTCATTTATTTTCATTACATTCTAAGAAGTTCTACATATGTTATAGCATCAAAACATTGCTTATGATCTAAACATTCATTTATAACGAGTTAAAAGTAAAACTCGTCATAAGTTTAATCATTTCAGAAAAATAATTTAGTCCTATAAAAAGTTCCAAAACGGAATTCTTATTTCGTTACCGAATTTTGTTTCGAAAGATTTTTTAAATTATCAAAATAATTATTTTTTAATCTTGGCAACACTATCTGACATTTCTCTCCGCCATTTTGTTGCAATGTCATTTCGGCCGCAATAGCACTGTACTCTGCCTACTGCGACAATTTCTTTCTAGATTTTGTTACCATTGTGTCAAGGTAAGTTTTAAGATATTAATATTTTTGTAAATTTTTTTGATAGTTTATTTTATACACTACACTTTGATGTTAAAATCTTGTTTTAACTGTTTGCTTTTAACCAATATTTCTTTTTTTGAAAATCTCATACGTTTATTTCGTTACTTCTATTTTTGTTACTTTCGCGTGGTAACGTATAATCGGAAAGTGGGGGTAACAGAAAAGGATTTTTAAAGCCATGTGCACATACACCTCTCAAAAATGGCATAAGATATATTCGTGAATCCCATATTATGTAATGTTACTTTCATACCTTACTACAGTGTAGGTATTAAAGCAATATTAAATACCTACATAATATTTTCTTAAATTACGTTTAACTATATTATTAAACTTTAAAATAATAATTCGATATACAGTTTGCATCGTTTTCAAATTAATATCAGGCTGTTAATAACAATCAGATATTATAATATAAATTACAAAATAAAAACTTTTGTTTATTTACGTAATTTTTCAAATAGATTTTCTAAGTAGTGCATTAATTTTATTATTATTGAAGTGAGCACTAAAACATACATTCTGTGAATAAAACATACATTTGATGCATATAATAAAGCTCGGTATAGCACACGACAAATAAGTTAAACCAAAGTGGCCGTTGTTGTTATGGTTACGAGCAGCTCCCCGCTTCGTTTGAGACTCAAATATCTGTTATACTGCGCACTGAAGGTCGATCGCCATTTTGGATCAACTTATATGCCACGTATTGTAATTCATATTCACGGAACTGACTGGTTATGCCATTTAGAATCGAAACACAACCGCATTGCGGCCTATGTCCAGCAGTGGACGTCGGCTGCAATGATGATGATCATCATCATCTTAGCGGTAATCCCAGTCGCATCCGAAGCTTTCAGCTTTGGAGTCTGGTGTCCGCTTTACCCAGTCTACCTGCTATTTGGCTAAACTTCGATATTTTCCGTGGAGTCAGCTGAAATGATGATGATGATGAGTGAAAAGTGTTAAAGTACAATTTTCAAACAGTTGACAAATAAATTGTATTCTATTGTCTGCAGGTGAAAGAAGTGGAAAATACTGAGGAATTTATTACTTAGGTATTCAGGTATATGAACAGTTATATTGTTTTTTACACAAGCAATACTTTTAATAACATTTTATCAAAAAAATGCCGTTAACCGCAGCCAAGATGAGACGCTATAGGGAGCGATTAAAATTTAACCCCGAAAAACTAGAAGAACAACGAAAGAAAAACCTTGAAAGAATAAAATCTAAATATAAATATAAGAAAATATCAGAAATGCCTGAGGCAGAAAAAAATAAGAAAAGGAAGGAATGGAGAGAAGAAAAAAGAAAGCAAAAAGAAAATAAGAAAAGTAGCGAACAAGCTGCATCAAATACCGCAAGCAAAAAAGATTCCAGTGCCAGAAAATCCAGAGTAAAAATAGAAAACTATAAAGATAAATACATAGCAGCTCAAAATCGAATTATATACTTGCATCGAGCGTTAGAAACAATGAGGAAAAGGTTATATCGTTTGCAAAAAAGCAAAATGCAAGAAAAGAATAAAAGTGAAGCAGAACTTAATCAGTTAAAGACTAGAAATGAAATTTTGGAAGCATCTTTAAAGTCGACTTACAAACAGTGTGAAAGTAATAAAGAGAGACACGTTATAAAGAAAATCGCTAATAATGATCTCGTGAAAAATAGTAAAGCTAAATCATTCATTTCTAAAAAAATAGGCCTAAAAACACGAGTTCGAAATAAGAAAACTACGAACAGGATTTTGAAACTCCAAGTCTATAATCGAGTTTTATATCAGAGATGATGTAAGCAGAGCAATCTCTGGCAAACGCGAATGCAAAACGCAAAAGAAAAACAAACAACAAATACGGTTTCTTAATAATTCATTAAAAATTTTATACGAAAAATACAAGTCGGAAGGTGGCTCTACTTCTTTTGCATCTTTTTGCCGGTATAGACCGTTTTACGTTATTTCACCCAACCTACAAAACCGAAACACTTGCCTTTGTATTAAACAAAGTAATATTAGTTTTAAATTAGCGGCTCTTAAACATCACAAAGTTATTGATGTATGTAACACTCATGATCTTCTCAAAAAAATAGTTTGTAATACACAGTCTGTATCTATAAATGTGTCTATAAACTACAATTTGGAGAATAACAAATCATCTCAAGAAATTACATTGCAAATGTGGGAAATCCAAACCCACACTTATAAAAAACGAACACAAAATGACGATGGACAAGAACGGCAAACAAAAAGAACAGTAAAATCAATAAAAAAGGTACTATTGCAGAGCTAATAAAAATATTTGAGGAATCTTTAAA